GGTTATTTTGCCTTAAATGCGTCATTGATAATTACATCCGTGACATATATTATGCATATCTCTAATTTTTAATGCAAATCTTGGCTTCGTTGCTGACTCAGCAAATCATAAATGCTCATATCTCCTCAATGAAAAATAATTATCGTACGATAGTTTTGCAAATGCGTGATCGATTTTTTTTTTCTATGATCCGTCATCTGCCGCGGCATTTATTCAATGCGTGCTAGGCCGTGGATATGCAATGTCTATTTATAGGTGGTGGTGCACACTGCCGTGCCAAGGAAGAAAGCTGTATGAGCCATTAGGCGTTGCCAAATTTCCTCAGGTAAATCACGAATTTTTGGGAAAATTTGTAAATATTTTTCTTCCAATTTTTCAGACAATTTTGTACGCAATTTAATCTAAAATATCTGAAAAATATCAAGGGAAAACGTGCTCAAATTGCGTTAATAATACGTGTTTCATCGAGGGAAATTTGGCAACTCTCGAATGTTCATACGGCGCGGCGTTCTTCCTTAACACGGTAGCATGATGCCCGCGCAAGAGCACACGCTTGCTTCCCCCAGTGGGCATGAAAAATAAATGTAATTTTTTACTGTGTCGTTTGCATGACCTCTTTGTAAATTTCCTTTTTTTACAATTTTAATCCTGAACACGACCCGACAGTGTCAAAACCCCGTCTATGCCATTCGCTTAGCCAGTTTGAAAGGATCAGCGGAGATGGGCACATAGAGTTCAAAGTTAAACCATTGATCTCCAACGCTCAAGCATTTGAAAAAATAGAATAAATCCCTCTTTTAGTCCATAAGTTCGGTTTCGGTGAAGCGTGTAAGCATCGCAATGTCAATTCGACACGTTTGTTACATCATTTTGGTAAGTATAGATAATGTTCTCAAAACTTAGAATAAATAAAGTCAATTTAAGGTGATAATTTTTTCATAAACTGTCGAAAGAAAATCACGATGAAGACATCGAGAGGGATACTTTTAGAGGATGTAATGTGCACATGTAGATCAGGCGGTGTACTTTTAAGCATCAAAAAAAGATGGAGCCTGACAAAAGAGCTCTTAATGTGGAGGGAAAATGATACAATTGATTGGAGGTCACTTCTGCAACACTCACCAAAACATTCCAAAATTGATCCTTTTTAAGTTGGAAAACGTAAAATCGCGAGTTTAGATACACACAGACTGAGTTTGCCTGAAACGATGCATTTCTTAGCCTTGCTTTATTGTTAATTATTCAAAAATGGCTTCTGTCCAATAGTTATTGAAACTATCAAAGGGGGTTTAGAATTAATAATTGTTGATGATTGATATTGTTAGGCACAGTCGTTCTCTGCACGATTAAAATTGAGTTTTCTCTAGAATGGCCTTATTGCTTGGTTCCATCACAAGTTAACACTGTTAATGAGTGACGAACCATCGACACTCTAATCAGAGTCGCGCTGAGGACGGAGGTTGGGACACCTCCGAAACGAGTCCACCTCAAAATTACAATTTTATGCAAGTGAGTGTCTTTAAGTTTGTTTTTAAAAGTTTTTTAAAATGTTCGTGAATTTAAAAAAAAATTTAAATTTTACCACCCTAATAAAAAAAAAATAGAGCAAAATCTCAGCGTCATAAAAAGAGTATTAAGCTTTTCTTACTATTCAATTAATTTCACACCCGGATTATTTTCAAAATTATCATACATGGCAAGATATTTTTAATTATATTAGAGCCACGAATAAAATAACTGAAAGGATAAATAATATCACAAAATAATCTTCCAGGTGCTGCTGCTCTTCATGTGCAATGAAGGAATTTCAAAATTGATTCCTGGTGAAATAACACAGGATGGAGAACTCGACTCACAGGTACTTTTAGACACCACATTTGTTTCGTTCTTACTTAACGCTGCACACTGACCAAACTGGTGCCGTGCAACAACTAAATTTGTGTCTCACTCTAACTGTAGTAGGTAATAAGGAGTAGGGAGGTAGTCGGTGTAAAAAATAATTTTGTCAATGTGCATATCTATTTCCAGCCAAGCTTAGCTAAGTCAGCAACAATAGTTTTTTCCTTCAAAGTATGTTGGGAGACTTGTAACGAATAAGTCTTAAGGTATGCAAAGATGAACTCCAGCTAAACACTTGAAAAAAAGAGGGTGCACTTTAAAGTGTTCTACACGCACATTGATAATCATAACGTTAGTTACTAAGTTTGACGCAACAGATTTGACAGCAGCCTATAATCATATGCAGAGCTTGAGGTATGTTCAATAAGGAGTAAATGGGATGAAGGGATCCCTGCACAATTTTCGAAAACATAGTTTTCCATACAACAAACAAAACCTTGTGGAATATTTGAGAGGATATTCCCTCAGAGGCGTAATTACTCAGATTATTAACTCTCCAGGAAAGTTTTAATTGGGATCATGAGAATGATAATTTCAAGTAATGATGTCGCTTTGGTCTACACTTTAAAAAAAAATAAATAAATAAATAAATAAATAAATAAATAAAGAGCGCAGATTTTGAAACACCGCAGGCGAGATATGTATTTTTGCATTTTCATGGTCAATAATGTTGCATAGCTTTCTGTTATGAAAATACTGAAAAAGAGAGGAAATTGGACGTATTTATGCTAAAAAGAACTCTGCAGCACGCAAAATTTTATGCAAAAAGCTTTTGCTTTTAGCATAAATACGTCCAATAAGCAATGTCTGATGTAGTTTTGCAGCTGACTCTGGTCATATCCATCCAAATCATGGCGTATTTTAAGGTCCAATCGGACTATATTTCTCAATAAGGTACTACTAAGGCTATCTATGACTGTATGGGGAAACTAATGGCATTTGCGCTGTTTGCAAAAATAGCCACATCATCGACCGCGTTAAGCAGAGAGGAACCCAGCCACATCAGCTATTCCAAAATTTAATCGGGCAATTTAAATTTTTATATGAAAAGGATTGTGCGGATTTTTTTGCTAGTTTCAGTGAATTTTCTTCATAGTACGAAGCAAATTCCTCATACATTTCAAAGGAATCCGTGCGTATGTTGTCATGTAAAAAATTAAACTGTCCAGTTAAATTTGGCAATAACTGATGTTGCTTGGTTCTTTTCTGCTTAATGCGTTCCGAATAGTACAGTGAAAAAAAATACCCTGTTTTAGCACCTGGGGAGGAGGGGGAGGAAGCCTGCCATACAGCACCACCAGGATTCACAGGTGCATCGTTTTGACTTCGGGGGGGGGGGGCGCTTAAATTTTAGCCTCCGAAAAGGGTTATTTTCTTCGTCTTCTCCTCGAAATGATGAACATCTTGAAGCGCAGGAACAAACTTTGAAATTACCCCCTTTGATGTTGATGGTCTCTGTGCTTCTTATCACCTGTGTTTTCTCCCAGAGGGAGCTGGTGATTAAATTTCCATCCTTCGTAATCTTTGTCTTGCGTGCTTTGATTTTGGTGCACTGTGTCGAGTCTGTTTACTTTGTAATCAGTCTCGGTCTCGCAATAACATGGCGAATCGGCGGCTCATTTCTATTTTTTTCCGGTTAAAAATTTAAACTGTTAATATTTTTGTTAATATTTTGAAACGTTCCGCGGATTTTGTTTATCCTCTGTTGTTGTTTTTTGCAGAGTTTTCCTAAAATTAAGTTGTTATTTTATCAGCACCTAGGATGTCAAAAATGTGTCTGGTGATCCCGAGATGCTGCCTTTACAGCCCCCGCAGTTAACTTCACATCCTGTGAATGCAAACTCAACTGCGTGGACAGTCAAGGCAACATTTTAGGATCACCAGAGACATTTTTGACATCCTAGTTGCTAAAACAGCATACCATTTTTCCAGCGCAGTCCTTCCTCGCAAAATATAACCCAATTCTACTCTCCCTCTAATTTTCCTTTGTTACCTCGATTTTGTGTACCTACAGCCAAGAGAAGCCGCTCCGACAGAGGTCATCTTGCTGAATGGAACCTCAACGGAGCTCACGGCTGACCGCGAGAGCCCCAATTTGGTCAACAGACTGGAGACCAGAGGGAAAGGAAATGGCCGGTCGTGTTTTGGATTTAAAAAAAGCAACGGGAGTGGTAAACAATCGTCGGAAAAATCAGAGAAAAAACTGAAAAGGAAAGAGACAAGAGCTCCGGATGGATATCTTTTCGATGACGAAAAGGCAATGTTGCAGTTCTCTTGCTGCTGCTGCCTTGCCCATTGGTTAAACTTAATTCCACACAAGGTGAAGCCAGGGACGGGGTACGTGCAAAAATGATTCAGAAGAAAACTGTACGAAAGAAAAAAGGAGCAATAAGGTATCTAGGTTAGTATAGTCTCAGTCTCCATATTAGTTCTACGTAAAGCTCTTAAGATGCTTATATAGGTAATAAACATCGCTACAAACAGCTCTGCACTTACTATACATACATATGTAGATATCCTGTGAGATTTGTAAAACATGCAGTTCTGATTTATGTTCCAAATCCTACGGTCAAAATTCCCTTATACGTATACTACAACAATTGATACTTTTTTCTTAATGGATTTTTGAAAGAGCTTGATGCAAAAACGGCTTTATTCGCCCCCCCCCCTCTGGAAGTTCTTCAGACTTTGTCTATTGATTACTCATACTTAAGCGCTTCTTTTCCCAAATTTTCAGACCCCCAAAAAATTTTGGGAGGGAGCTAGGGGGGTGGAAGTCAAAACCTGTGAACCTCGATATCTCTTGAACAAAGAAAAATATCGAAGTCAGGTTTGGACGAAAAATCGTCTACAATTGCACACTTTAAGATTCTAAAGGTTGAAATCCCGATATCACATTTTTAAGTCAACATATGTGCTTTTTCCAGTTTTTAGGTCTAGAAAATTTCTTTTAAACGAAAAATTTACAAAGATTTCAATTTTTTATTTGAACCAAAACTAGTTTTTTACATTGTTCGTCTTTTTCCACATCCAACGAGTGGTCCATTAAGCTGGGGAACCAAACGGTTCCGGAGTTATGATCGATTGAAGTTTCCGCTCAACGCGCGCCGACCGATTTTCGCGCGCAAAAAAGTCGGATTTGACTGTTATT